ATCCGTCCATTTGAGGGACCCATGAAGTTGGAGCGGTCCACTGGAGGCCAAATTTGTCCATTTGAAGGACCTATGAAGATGGAGAGGTCCACCAGAGGGCAAATCCGTCCACGTGAAGGACCCATGAAGATGGAGCGGTCCACTAGAGGGAAAATCCGTCCATGTGAAGGACCTATGAAGATGGAGCGGTCCACTAGAGGTCAAATCTATCCATGTGAAGGAGCCATGAGGATGGAGTGGTCCACTTGAGGCAAAATCTGTCCATCTGAGGGACTCATGAAGTTGGAGCGGTCCACTGGAGGCCAAATCCGTCCATGTAAAGGACCTATGAAGATAGAGCGGTCCACTGGAGGCCAAACCTGTCCATGTAAAGGACCTATGAAGATGAAGCGGTCCACTGGAGGATAAATCTGTCCACTTTTGGGACCTCTAAAGCTGGAGCGGTCCTCTTGAGGATGGATCCATCCATGGCTTGTTAAAGAGGACCGCGTAGAGGACTGATGGAGAGGACCCTCGGAAAGGACCGCGGAGAGGACCACCAGAGAGGACCGCAGAAAGGACCGCCGGAGAGGACCGCCAGAGGGGACTTCCGGAAAGGATCACGGAGAGGGCTTCCAGAGAGGACCGCAGAGAGGGGCCCTCCACTTCCGTCCATGGTTCGGCGGAGGAAATCGGAGCTCGCTGGATCTCGTCGAAGATGAAGGCCCGATTGTTGTCGATGAGGCTCGCCGGAGCAAAGGGAGCTTGATGGACGAACAAGAGCAATCGCAGCCGCTGCCATCCGTGGCTCGCAGGAAAAAGTGGGAGCTCGTCGTAAGGCCGTCGCTGCTATCTGTGGCTCGCCGGAGGAAGTGGGAGCTTGCTTCTTCCGGGCCAAGGTTCCCTGGAGTGGACAATTGCTAATGGTATGGCTCCCCGCTGGATACCGCCAGAGATGAAGCACACTAGAGGGCTCGCCGGTCTGGAAGAATACTCACCAACCCTAATGGAGGGTACTGTCGGCGTCCCCCTACCGCATGCTTGCTGCTCGCCGAAAAGATCCTTGCGGTCCGCAGCTCGGCGGCGGAGGGAGGAGTTGCCGGAGCTAGATGAGTCGCTTGTTTACTGGACCGCCATGCTGGCCGTGGTTGCCAAGGGCTCGTCGAAGCTTGTCGCCGGTTATGACTCTGCCGGATCTCCAAGCAGTCACGGATCTAAGCTCGCCGGAGAGAGGCTCGCCAAGGGCTCACTGGAGAGGACCGGGAGTGGCTCGCCGGAGGAAGGAGGTATTCACCAGAGGCCTGCCGCTGTCCGTGGCTCGCCGTAGGAGGAGCTCACTACCCAAATCTTTTGATGCGACTTTCCGATTTGAGAAGAAAAGGAAAAGGGCTCTCTCATCTTCCTTTATTTTGATTTTCTCCCCCACCTCTCTTCGTCTCTCTCCCTTTTCCATTTAATTTTTTTTACCTTCTCTCTCATTTTTTCCTCCATTACGGACTCGAAGCACAAAAGCTTTTTGTGACCGGTCCCACGGGTAGCGCCAGTGATGGAAACCGCTTTTTCGGGGCATCGACCCGATGAAATCAGTACCGGGTCGGCACCGCACCGAATAGCGAAATCCGGAAATTAAATAAATAAATAAACAGAGAGAAAGTATTTATACGTAGAAACCCAAATCGGGAGAAAACCACGGGCCTTTTTAGGCGGTGCCATGCCAAAGGGGGAGTAACTTTTATTAATCTCGGGGGAATTTACATATACATCACTGTAGGAGCTTGGAGCCATTAATGGATCTCCAAGCTAAAAGAAGAAGAAGAATGAAGAATAGTAGGAACATGTTGTAGGAATCCGGCCTCCCTCCTCACTCCTTCGTAGCCTGCATTTAAAGGGGAGAAGGAAATAATTGATGGAGACAAGAGGGGATATTGTCCATGTGAAGCCCATGTGCGGCATGTGGTTTCCATGTGGTAGTGTTCCACGGGTCCCGCCAAATGTCTCCACATCACTTCAAATATATTCTTCTGTCCATATATCTCTGGTTCTGTCTTGAATAATTTATCTGATTTATATCTTGGGCTAGATAAAATTGGGCTTTCTTGTACTGTTTAAATAATATTGGATTAGGAAAAATCCCTAATCCATCAATATACTAGAGTACAAATCTTCAAAAACAGAGAGAAAGAGCAAAAAAAAGAAAGAAAAGAGTAAATTGGAGAAAACAGTTGAAACAAAAAAAAAGGAGTATAGTCCTTGCCTCGATGATGCCTCACAAAGAGGGGTGACACGGCTTGGCTCGCCTCGCTAATGCCTTGAAAAGTCTGATGTGGCATGGAGTGGCAAGGCTTTGCCTTGCAGCTGCCAATGCTCTAAAATGCTCGGGAAAAAAGGGGAGAAGATCCGCCTTTCCCAGGAGGGGCGCTCTCCTTCCCTTCCCGCCGCCAATTGGACTTCCCGTTGGCCCTCTTGCAGGCGCACCTGATGGCCTAAGGGCAGTGGGTATACCCGTAACGCCGACCGGCGTTATGCCGATTTTCACGCCCCGGGGGCGTTAAACACTGCCCCCGGCGGCGTTACCCGGGCGTTACTTGGCGTGCGTCAAATGAATGACGCAGCGTCATTCGTCTCCCCCTCCCCCCTAACGGCTCTTTGAGCCGTTGCACCCCCCAATTCAAAAAAAAATTATTATAAATTCAAACCCCCCCCTTCCCAATATCTCACACCATCTCCATCTTCAATCTCTTCTTATTCCCAATTTTTAAATTTCAAAATTCAAACCCCCC